GGGCCGGTTAGGGTATATTTATACCTTCCCCAAAACTACATCGTTTTGGGAAGGGGCTTCAGGGTAATTAGGGAATGGTTAAATTCCATGCGCGATCCCTCCATCTTTATAAATCTCCCATTTTGATCCTAAAATCAGGTTTTTCACCTTTTAATTTTGTCTTCAAGTATTAATTATTTTTATTTTAGTCATTAAATATATATATATTTAGGTTAAAACACATGTTTAGTCCTTAAATATTAAAAATGTATATTTTAGTCTCGATTAATAATTTAGGGTAAATTATATTATTGAGACATAATTTTAATATTGTTTCGAATTAGATTAATTAATATTACTATTTTATATTTTAGTCATTAATTATAATTATAAGATTAATTATAATGTTAATATAATTATATATATATTAGAATAATTTTATAGTTTTAATATAATATTATATAAGATTTTTAATACTTCTATTAAATATTATTTAGCAATTATTTATAGTAAATTATTTGTAAATTATTTGAACAAATTTAAATTTTATTGCAAAGACAAATTAATTAATAAATCCCGGGTGGCGTTTTGGAGTGCTAATCCTTCCCCATACATAACCGACTCCTGAACTCATTTTTCTAGTAAGCAGACCCGAGTTGTATTATTTTAATATTATTCTTAGAAATTTTTATTAAAATAATATGACATTTTGGTGACCAATCTCACCAAATAAAAAGATTGGTGACGACTCTACAATTTGATGTTTAATCTAATTCATGGATAATAAACACTTACTTTTTCGAGATTAATTACATCGTTTGGGATACATTATTTACACTCTCCGTCACCTGTCAGAGAAACGTCTCGACAAGGGCTAATCGAGTTTCATTGTCTCAATCCTCGACTAGGAGTAAACATAGGGTTGGAATCTTGGATAATCTCTCGAATAGTTGAGTCAGTGTGGTGGAGGTAAATAGTTGAAGTCGATTTTTTTACATTTATGGGGAAGTGCTGTTTAGCAATGTAGTTAATATAATTGATATGACAGTTTTGAGTCCCTAAATTACAAATAAGGGAATTTATGTGCGGTCCTTATTTCAGGCTCTTACTTCATATATGCAAACTCCTCCGGAAGGTTCATCTGTCAACAGAGCAATTGGAAAGTTGTTGGGGCCAGCCTTGGGCGACCAACAGCAAGGAAGTTTCTCTATCTACTTATGGAAAACTGCTTTCCAAGATGCTTTTCAACGACTCTGTTCTGTTAGAGCAGGTGGTCATGAGCAGGGTTTTAAAAAACGGTTCGTGACTGCGATTTTGGCTGCGATATAACGGTTTCGCCGCCGTACGAGTTACCCGCGACTCCGTGACTGCTGCAATAGCGCCCACGACGACCGCAATCACAATAATGTATCTGATCCTATTGTAGAATCAAAGGTTCTGCCTATTCCATCGGGAGATCTTAGCTTTGGATCTGGTGCACAGGTAAAATATGCTGTATGTATTTTATCAGTGGACTTTTGTTTCTTCTTGGTATCTGTTTTATATCTAGTTGGGTCTAGTCCTTGCACCCAACGTATGTCTCAACAAGCAATTGTTGCTGTGAATCTCAATAATTCCTATGCTTATTATATTTACTCCATTCCGTGGTTTTTACGTTTTGTTGGAACACTGCCTCAAAGAAATTTTTATCAGTCATATTATAAATAGTGTGGTTCTTGTCTAGAAAGCACAGGGACGGCAAAGGAGCCCAGTTTCAAGTACCCTACGTTTCCGGCACGGGACGGCTGGGTACGTACCAGGGACATGCCACGGTGGCATATTACGGCTGACCGAATTCGGAGACGGTTAAAGCTTATCTTGGGACGTTTCGGGGATGTCCCCAAGGATAATTTTGGATGAGAAAATTGCAGTGAATAGGTTGACCAAAGCTTGTAGCAACGAAAGGAAAGAAAAGGATTTCTTGACGTATTTCAGTTCTCTTCCCGTGGCTCCGTTGCTTCTCGTCTACATGGTAATATTAACAGTCTCTTCGGTTTCGTCTATCAGTTATCTTTTCTGGGTTTCATTCGAGCTTTTGTTCATGAAAAAAAGATATAAAAGGAAGAAGCGGCTGCAGGGAAGAAAGAAGGTTTAGAATAGGATTTAAAGAATGTTTGGTATAATTACTATTTGATCCCTGATATTTCTAGTTCTTTCGAATCTGGTAACAATTTTTGGAGTATTTTCAAATTGGACACTAAAATTAATTTAGGGATTTGAAAAAAAATCTCAAATATTAGGATTTTAATTAGGGTGTTACACCAAATTTCTATGAAGTATCGACTTTATTTATGATTTTTTAAATCTATTTATAATTTTAAAATTTTTTATATGACGTACCCTTACAGTCCCCGTACCCTGTAATTTTAGAAATTTCCTTTTCCCGTCCCCCTCCCCATCCCCCGTATCTGTATCTGGTTTAATTTTTGAACTGAACATCATATGGAAAATGCATTAAAAATGGAATGATCTAAGCAGCTGAGAAAATATATTAGAAGGAGTGATATGTTGCGAATGAAAAGATCTCAAATACTGCAAATGGCGTGAATTCTGATGTTCTTTATAGGAAGTCCTCGATTTATGCTATCTATGATACCACTGTTTACCTTTTTGGTTGTGTCATGATATACATTGGAATGGTTTCTATTTGCTTCCTGATTGCAATCAGAGATGAATTGGTAATTGGGGGTTTCATCACCTATCCCAATTGGTGAAACCCATTTGTAATACCTTTTTACATGGAAATATTATACGCTAGTACAGAATGAGGGACACATATTTTGCAGGTTGGTAATTGATCTAGATGGCCTACTGATTTGTTCGGCATGGATCGTGCTGATGATATGAATGAAGATCAACATAGCACACAAGATGATTTCAGAAAAAATGGAGACGGGGATGCTAAATCCTTTCCTTATATTAATTCCCTGAGTGATCTTCTAATGCTTCCAAAGGACATGCTTTTGGACCGTTCAGTTAGGAGGTAGATTTCTAATTGAAGTCTGCATTTTTCTGTTCTCTTTGATGTTGGGCCTCTCTAACTCTTTTTGACTAAATTATTTTCATGGCTTTAGGTGTGTCCATCAATAGGTCTTCCAATGGTTAAGCGCTTCTCTGCAACTTCACTCTGGATGAGTTTGTCCCGGTCCTGTTCCAGGTGCTGTATCGGAAGCCTTGAATGCTGAGGTATGACTAGTTCAGGGTTCCCTTGTTCTACTAATCTGTTTGTCATACTTTTTAATAACTCAGAAGATAATTCCCAATCTTGGCCTTGCATCTATTTGTGTTTCGTATTTTGTTGAACTCAGTATTGCCTTTAACCATTAAAAAAAGAGAATAGTTGTCTTTTTTCTGATTTACGGTTCTTTCATCCTTTTAGACTGTTGTTGAGAGGAGATTATCAGGAAAGCCGGCTAGAACTTTCCCTTATACAGCTGCCCCCGTTGTCTATACTCCATCCTCAGCAGATTTACAAAGGCAGTAGGGCAGTCGCCTTTGTCTAGGAATGCACTGGTGCCCAGAGGAAAGGATATACCAGTGACGAGGAATTGGAGGAATTGAATTCTCCACTTGGATAATTGATAAATTTCCATTGTCACCAACAATTGTTGCCAATGGAGCAGTGAATGGAAACCATGGGCATGCGGGCTATGGTGGTGCAAATACAAGATACGAGCTCCTTCGTGAGGTATGGTCTGCTTGAGTGCTTATGTTAGTTCATTGTGTATTTCTGTAAGCGTTTCAAGCTTTGATTATCTGCCATGCATGCACTGCAACTGCTTAAGACTAAGGATATTATTTCAAGTTCACTATTAGATTTGCAACATAACTTCATAATCAAATCAAAGTCCATTGTTATGTTTTTTTGTTTGGTCGACCATAAAGACTAGCCGCACTTAGAAGCACGAGTCCAAGTTCATTCAGTGCTTGCAAACAACTGGAAAGGTCTGGTTCAGACTTGGAAAAAATTCATTCCGTTTCCTCTGTTTGCTGGAACTGTGTTTACCGCCATAGTGGCTCCGTTGCCCGATTCCCCATTAGATGAACCTTCTGAACAGTCGAAACCGCTGACCGAATAGACCGGTATAGTGTTTGTTTCAAAATTAATAGGGTTTTGAGGTAGGTTCTGGGTCGTAACATCTTTAATCTGCTCCAGATATTTGAGAGAATCTTGTTCTTTTAGAGCTAACAGGCTCGGAAAGTTATCTGCAAATTCTCTGTATGTCTCCACACAATTTCCGAAGCCAGTGCCGGCGATATTTTGTGGAAGCACAACAGGGTTCTGGTAACCATGAAGAACAGGAAAGGTGGAGTCTTGTTGATAACCCTGTATAAAGGGAAAACTTGAATTTTGCTGCATTTCACCATCATCCCCTGAAACTGTGAAGCTCCCTTCGGAATTCAAATTAAAAGGAAACTCCACATTGTACTTGAAGCTTGCATTTCCATCATTGCTAATTTTGCTTCCAAAACTGTTGAACCCTTGCACTAGAGGAGTATTAATCCGAGACTCATTAGGGTTCGGAAATCCATAAAGAAGACATGAGCTAATCTTTCGGTTCATGTCGAGGTCAGAATGGTACAAATTCTGCACATTAGTGTTAGGATCTTCCGCTGACATCGATAGTAGAGCTGGATCAAGGGTGCCTGAATCATCTTGCCCGTAGTAAACTGAGGAGCTTGTGTTGCCGACATTTCTTTTCTTTCGAATAACATCATCCACCGAAGACTTGAGCAATAGCTTAGACGCTCCCTTGCCGATCGGTAGCTTTGAACTTTGAAGAATGACCTTCAGATCATACTCATTTATATCAAAATTTGTAATAGCATTTACACCTTTCAGCCTGATAGCAGCTACATCGTAAGCCTTAGCTGCTTGCTCTTCGGTATCTGATAAAGTGTAACTTGAGCGTTAAGTAATCTTCAATTTCAGTAATCATAATCGTTTTCATCAAGAAATAAGTTGGGGTCAGTAGTTACCGAATGTTCCTAGGTAAATTCCTCTGATCTCTTTCCCTTTTCCAATCCTTGCTTGCCATTTCTTGAAGTCCGAGTTCCTGCAAAGTAATCTCTCGTGATTGGAAATGCAGAAAAAAGTACAGAACTAGCAGGGAAAAGGAGAATATATGTATATATCACCTGGAGACTCCACGATAAATGGATGCACCCTTTGAAAAGCCCTTGCTTTTTCTGAAATTAATGAAGATTCCAGTGTAATGAATCAGCTCATTTGTTTTAATGGAAATGGAAAGTAGGTTGAGGGTTTTACCTTCTTATGTTGCGAAAATATTCATGTTTGGTATACAACTTCATCTCTACCAAATCCGACTCATAGTTGCTAATCTAGTGATACAACAACTTAGCTAACCAACATTGCTTTATGCATGCATGTATGCATGGATGCATGTATGCATGCATGGATGCATGTATGCATGGATGCATGTATGCATGTCTGTGGTGAAAGAGAAAACATACCGGGAATTCAGCGGAGCAAATTCTCCCCATAGTTTCAGAGCAGCTAAATCATAAGCCCTTGCTGCTGATACTTCATCATCATATCCACCTGTGGAATCAATTCACGTTTTCCAAAATTATTTCCTGTTGGGGTCCAAAGCTTTTATACTTTTATTTAAACAAAAATTTGTAAATTTCCTTATGTCTCTTCGACACGCTAAAGTAAACTTAATATTTTTTTTTCTAAAATAATGAGTATGTACTTGCTCCCCTAGGGCCTAGGGGTTTAATGCATCCGCCCCATGCATTACCCTTGTTTGTGGAAAGGTAAAGTTTTGTACGTATGAAGAGAGTTGTTTGAAGTCATATATCTACCCATAATATGCAAGTAAATTGTACACATAATTTAGAAGTGGAATCGGGTGAGTTCACTGACCTATATAAACTGCAAAGTGCAGGAAGAAGAAGAAGAAGAACATCGTTAGCAATGAATGAGATAATGACGATAACCAGGATATATATATATATTAGAAAGCAGAAAGGAAGAAGATAATGTGAAGACCAGTCTTTGGTTTTTGTGTTGGATCAGTGTTATCCCACAAAAATGCCTCGTATCGACCAGTGTATCTGCATCGAATTCCATGGCATCTTTCAGTTTCAATTGTAAAATACTAGGGATATCAACTTAAAATGAAGATGGATAGGCCATCACAACCTGTAACTCCTCGGTAGCTCGAGCTTCTCGCTCCGAAATCCGCAGCGACTCCTGCCGTGGCTGCTGACGGCTCCTTTACATTCGTTGCTCCGGTTATCACTGTCAAATGAATTTGTCGAATGAGTTCAACTGCAAATACTCAGATCCATGGAATAAATAGTGTGTTGTGATAGACTGTTTAACTTGGTTTGTTTTTGCTTCCTGGATGTTGTTGTTTCCATTGGGAAGGATGCGTTACCACCACATCCATTCAGTAAGAGTGTAGTACAATCTTCAAACTGAGAATCAATGTTTGGTGAGCTCATGTTAATAGAACCTACGAAATAAACACAAATGAGAAGAAATGTACATATATAATGGTAAGTGGTGCCAAATCATGCTTCAATTTCCTAAGATTCTTAGAGTTGTTTGTGGAACTCATGATACTTACATGGACAGACGCATGATTTTAAGTCAGGAGGGGTGAACTTCTAAAATTTTAGATGATGAAAATAAATTATTAATAGAAAATACAAATAAGATATATAAAATATATGATAATTTAAAATTTTCATAGAAGACGATTGCCCCAACTTGTTAATCTAGATCCATTCCTGCTTCCGTTGTCATTTCATTTCATGGGATTTTTGTAAACCTCCACACTGTGTTCTTCTGTTGCAAGTGCTCTTATTTTCTTTTCTAAAAATATAAGCTATTTTACGAGGATTGTTTTTTTTATAATTTAGAGAAAATTATAAAAAATATCCCTGATTATATATCTATTATTCATATCCCTCATCTTAGCTTTGACAAAACATGATTGAATGGTAAGAAACAACACGGCAAAATATTGGATTATGATATTTAGCTTAAAACTACTTCCCAATGATAAAAAAAAAAGTAGAATAGGACTGCAGGGAAAATTGATATTAAAAATATGAAGAGTAAATGAATCCTTATTGGGAGAAGAAACTCAGTATATAGACTGACCTGATAATAATCTCAATGAAACCAACTGTAAATCCAAATTAAAATCCCAAAATGATATATATATTCGGTTCATCAGAGAAGAGATAAATAAGGTAAATTAAATTACAGGAAGAAAAATGGCAACTTCATAATTGATAAACAGAGTGATAAATGATTTAAGATTTTTGTAACCATATATAGTGGTGTATCATAAATTCTGCAATCATAGTGTCACATGAATTTCAAGTGTGGGTTCCACGCTTCTTTTAATTTGAATCAAATCACACAGTAAATTAAGTTGCCCAATCATTTCATTGGATTCGAAAATCTCCGTACACATCCTTCACCGATAACGAGCAAAATTTTGTCGCTTGCCTTTAATTATTCGATAAATAAATTATTTACACTGATTCGCATATACAGCAAATATATTTGGTCAACTAATAAAATTGTTTATTTTTATTTTTTTTATATATCTTTAAATTATAAATTCTAGACTCACTGGCAGCTTATTTCCTCTAGTCTCTCTTCTCCTCTCTTTTAAATAGAATTATGATTGTATTTAGAATTTATTAAAATAAAAATTGAATTCATCAAGTACCTCAATGTTTGAAGTAAGAGTTGTTCTCCTTAAAGATCCTGGGTTCAAGCAGTTACATTTACGAGTGCGTGTGCGTTATCAATGATCAAAAAATATTCTAAATGGATACTACTTTATAATCAGTCTAAGACTATTAAAAAACTATTCGAGGATTGAATATTAACAAATTTGTTTAAACAAAATTAAAAGATAAAGTAAAAATTTATTTAAATATAACTATATTTTCATTTTCCTCTAACAATATTTAATATTTTTGTTGAGAGAAAAAATGGGTGTATGACGGTTTTTTACAGTTCATCTATTTTAATCTGACGAAAAGTTATAACTGATTTTTTAGTGGAGGAGAAAGAGAGAGAATACGAGTTGAAAGGATAATGAACAATGTATGAGATCGAGAATGAGACCGAGAAAGTCCCATTTTCTAGCATTATATGGTGATTTATACAAACCCTTAGTATTAATGTTAGACTTAGGGTGACATCTGTAGGTTGGCAAGGTAAATAGATATGATTTTGAGATAGTAGATTTAGTTAGTAGATTGTGTGTTTTTACCAGTAGTCATGTTAAGAGATTGTAGTTGATTGGAGGATATGGAGTTCTAAAGGCTTTGAAAAAATTCAGAGGAATGAAAATATATATGTGGCTTGCGGATAGAATTCGTAGGAGGTACAACACTTTTCCCAACCTCTTTGGTTGAGGGAATGCCATAGAGTGACTGGAACCGATACTTGTGGAAGAAGACTCTTATTGCATTAAAAAAAGCTATTTCATGAGATATATATTTACATTGGAAGATTCTCTGAACTATGATAAGACAATGCGAGAACTAGAGTACTAGAGGCATCACAACATTAGATATGTAGTGGAAGATCTCGATATTCTTAAATATGTTATGGAGAAAGCGACAATACCTTGATACTCGGTATAGATATAAATAAATTACTATAATCATGGAAGAAGTATCTCTACTCTCTTTGGCCAAACGATGGAGAGATGGCAGGAAAATACATTTAGATATGATGGAGTTTAGATGTTTTGACTCTCTTTGGCTTGATGATAGAGAAATAGTAGAAAATTCCCTTTCGCTAGGGTAGACGGAGGCATCTTGACGCTCTTGGCTAGAGAGGAATAAACTCGATGCCCTTAGAAAAACACTACAGAATGAGAAAGAGCATCTTGATGCTCTTTGAAGAAGCGCTACAAAATGGGTCAAGGCATCTTCGCTTTAGTAGAAAAAAAGTGATTACCCTTGCTAGGGAAAAGACATCTTGATACTCATAAAAGTAATGGAAAAATTCTTATTAATGGAGTAGAGACATCTCATCATTCTTTGGATAATTCCTTAAGCTAGAGTGTGAAGTAACTCGTCACACTTGAAGGGACATTATAGAGTAAACAAAGGTATCTTGATGTTTTTATGAAAATGTTATAGAAAAATGCTGAAGGCATCTCATCGTTCTCTAAATAGCAATGAAGAGACTTTTATTGCTACAGTAGAGGCATCTCAACTCTATCTTAGCAAGATAATGGAGAAACAAGAAGGAAATTTCTTTAGTTAAAGTGGAGGGAGGTATCTCAACACTTTTGACTATAGAGAATGTAACTCGATGGCCTTAATAAATATTACATATTGAGTAGATACATCTCCACGCTCTCTAAAGAAACAATATAGAATGGGTGGATGCATCTTGACCTTGGTAGAAGTAATAGATCACTTCCTCTCACTAGAAAAAAAGACATCTCAACACTCTTTAAAACATAATAAAAAAAACTCCTATTGATGTGTCAGAGGCAACTCAACCCCTTGGTAGATTCCATAAGTTGGGCTGAAAGCAACTCTTTACCCTTGTACAGACGTTATATAATGAGTAGAGGAATCTTGACGTTATCTATAGAAACGCTATAGAAAATGGTCAGAGACATACCAACATTATCTATATATAATGGAGGCATCTCAACTCTCTTGGTCAAATGAAGGAGATATAGTGGAGAAATTTTGTAGTTAGAGTGGAGCAGTGGCATCTCAATACTCTTAACCAGGGAGAATACATCTTCTCTCCTGGAGAGACAATATATAATGAGTAGAGGCATCTCATCGTTCTCTATAAAAATGCAACATAATAAGCGGAGGTACCTCAACACTATATATACATATAAAAGGATATTAACTTTCCTAGATAGACAAGAAAGTAGAACTCTAATGTTTCAATAAATGAAAAATACTTCAACACTATATCATATGTTTAAAGGAGGATTTCTCAATACCTTAGTGAAAAATAGTCTAAAAGGCCATCCTCGGAGCTCTTTGATCATTATAGGATAGAGACGTTGATTACCAAGGTGTGATTCCTTATTTTTCTTAGAGCATTCAATCATTATATCCTTGTTGACCCTTTTTTTAATCTACTTCAAATGATATAATAATGTCATGGTGATAACCATTAATTGTAGCAACATTCATTAGGACTCATAGAACCTTGGAAAATGTCTTTAATGCCTTATAGTTTGTTAGTTCTACGAGATAGATTGCAAGGGACTATACTCCCTTGGAAAATGATATCTCTTGGAAAAAAACTATAAATTGCAAGGGATAACATTCATTAGGACTCACATAACCTTGGTAAATTATGTAATAATGCAAGGGATAACATTGCAAAGGACTTTACATTAAGACTTAAAGAAGTTGCTTGCACGTGGGGCATGATAGGACCATACTCCTGCGTAGCACTATCTCCTCCAAAGCCATTTGGAGCTCAGAGACCATCAATCATATTTTTTATGATTTTCATTTGCCTTCTCTATTCTTGCTGACTTGGGTCAACATGATGAGGCAGATATTCAATGTTATCCCTTTTTTGGCCAGTCTTTGGGGGGAACTATATTATCTGAAGTATTCAGACGAATAGTAACATGCTCTTACTAACACCTCTCTTTGATATTAGATGCTCTTTCTTCTTTCTCATGTCACCAACTTCCTTGGTGCTGAGAGTTTAACATCTCTTAAAGAGTTTTCTTTGGATTAACTCATGTTGTTGTTGGTTTTTGTTGCTGCAACTATAGTTGGCCCATCTAGGAGGCTTGGTACTACGTATACAAACTTCGTAGCTCATTTTGTAAGTTGTGATAAGCCTGATAATTGATAGCTTCCTAAAAAGGCAGCTTTTAAGGCCTTTTTCACTTAAGTTATTGCTTGTTTAAAAGCTCATTTAGGTCATTTTAGATGCATATAGTTGCATTAGTGGTGGTTGTGCTATTTTATCTTTTTTTGTTTTAATGGTAGATTTAAATTTATCTTTTGCATTTACTTGTTTTGCTTATGAATGTTTTATCTTCTAAGTATGTAGGATGCATGAGAGTGTCCATTACTTAGATGAAGGCTAGGTGTTCGAGAGAAACTTGATCATTAATACTTGTAGTATTCGAGAGAAACACAAGTAAGATCTGCATA